ATAAGCCCACATTTCTACATATGCGGGCTTGGCCACATAGAAACCAGGTCCTTATCAGCTATGGAGATCAATTAAGTGTACACTTGAGTCTACACTTTTAAATTTTTATATCAAATAGGTACATTCTTCAAAAAAAAAGTTAAAATTTTCCAAAGTTTCCATATTCGTTGTAGGGAAGCCAGATCAATAAAGGTACTTCACATTTTACCCCCAAAGACAATTAATCGCATGATAATTGGGATAAAATGATTAAAGTACGGTTATGCTTTCCAATATAAAGCAAGGGCAATCTAAAATATTTTTAATTTTTTTAGGACATACATGATTGATACAAAAATTTAAAAATATACCTTCCAGTATAGTTTGTAATCTTTTGATCTCGTTAATGATATTACCAGAGAGTTGTATGTATGCAATACCTAATACTAGCGGGGACTTATCGTCTTAGTAAGAGTATAACCCTTAATAGAGTAAAATGTCACAATAGGATTTATATAACCAACCCTAAATATTAAGATAAAGTTTTGATGAAGATAACGAAGAACTTCAAAACAAGAAGCTCTCAACCGTGAGATGTGCAATAGGGCAACTGGGAATGATAAGGAGTGTTGGGTTTATGGTGTAGTGAACTTGAAACAAGCAACTTCTATGAACTACATTTCAAATAAGGGCATGAATGATATTATCTCAAAATGTTCCGGTATTTTTATTACTAACTTGGTCAATAACTCCAAAGATTGGGGGCAACTTTGGCAGAGCCTGCATTTCCAGATGGTGTACTCTTTCCTTGCAAATTACAATCTTTTTAGGTAGAGTTTTGAGGTGCGCTTTAACGGTTTTGTTAGGGTATATCATTTGGTGGTATATGCCTTTAGAGGCTGATTGGATACCTAGAAATATATTGTCGCGTAATATATTACAGGGTAAAACATTACCTACAAACGGATTGTTACTATTTGGGTAGTATTAGATGAAACTTGAGAAATACATGGCTATTGGTTGGCTATGTATAGAAGAAATATGGGAAATGCATTACGAACATTTTTACCAGCACTTGCCTATAAATTATTATTTTTTTCTTTTTTATGTTACAAAATTCTATTGAAATACAGAATTAAAGTCATCATCACATCATTCAAAAAACATTTTCTAATAATAACATTATCACCATTCTAAAAAGATTTTCTAATAATAACTATTTACTATTCTAAAGTCATCATTACACAATTTCTTACTTATTTTGTATGCTTTTGGTACTTACATGGAATCACATGTCTTCTAACTTGATTAGAATTTGGTTTCAACATGATAAATCATTGGAATAATATAATTGGAATAACATGTTTTTATTGTGATAAGCCTTATTTTTATTTATTTTTTATAAAAGTCTTTCAAATGTCTATCTATGTAATTTCAAATAACTAATAAATTTATGATACCAAATTCAAAATCTTTATAGTACAAGTTAAAAAATAGAAAGAAGTTTGATTAGTAAATTAGAAGGTTTGGTAATTGCAGTAGAAAATTTTGAGATATTGGAAGAAAGTAAATAGGTATCTTATTTCAATTCAGCTTTTACTAATCTCTTATGATGATTATGTTGGGTGAAAATTTTTTATTATAATTGTGTTGTGTAATTTCTTATGTTGGGTAAATTTTTTTATTATAATTGTGATGTCTAATTTCTAATTGATTAGATATGCTAAGCAGAATGGATAGGCTTAAGAGGAGGGAGAATGGAAAATGTATAATTTCGCATTGATTAGATATGCTAAGGAGAATGGATAAGCTAAGAAGAGAGGGAGAATGAAAAAAGTGAAGATGAGAGAGTAAAAAGGTTGCAAAAAAAAAGGAAAAAATCCAAATGAGGAAGGGGCTTAAAGATAAATGGGGCTTAAAAAAATTTGAAAAAGTACAATGAGAAGAAGGGGCTTAAAGAGAGAGGAAGCTGCAAGCGAGTTATTAGGGTTCAAGAGAGAGGGTACGGGCTTAGAGAGGGAGGGAGCACCGAGGCTAGGGGTTGTCATTTTATTAAGCTAGAAAAGGGCAAAGAGACGTACGAGAACTATTTCTAAAGAGTACTTGCAAAATAGACTTTTCACTTTCACCCACTTTTGACCGTGAGTGATGTGTTTCATGATTTTTTGGGAAATCTCAGGTAATCTCTTACCATTTTTTTACTATAAAGTGTTCTCAAACAGTGGAAATGTCATGTTTCCTTGATTGTCATATAATAGATTTACAGGTACCGAAACAGCCCTCAAAGTCTTCAACATTTTTGGACACTCAAATACCTTTATCTTTTTGGACACTCAAATGCCTTTATCCTATAGTGTAGTAACTTTTTGTCTAGGGCAATTTCAAGTAATTAGTCATATCCTATAGTGTAGTAACTTTTTGTCTAGGACAATTTTAAATACTTAATCAAGGGTAAAATATAAATTTCTAATAAAAACAAAATCATTTATTAACAATAGTGGACAATGACATTACCAACATGGTATGTGACATCACCCTCAAGATGCATTAATTATTTTTTATCTATTAATAGAAAGCCACTATTTTGTTATAGGAATATCCATTCTACTCTTCTAAATAACAAAAAGTGTCCTTACATGAAAATTTTCGTATTACAATTCAAAGGTATTTAAGTGCTAAAAAATGTTGAGGACTTTAAGGATATACACCGATAGCCAAACAAAACCCTACTCTAAAATATAAGGCTGACCCCTTTTATAAACTTCTTAAACAAATAAATGGTAGTAATCCATAGAGCTTGTAGTTTGGTTGTCAAGCAAAATCAATAGGGCAAGCTTTCTTATGCTTCCCTCAATATAAAACTTATATGCTTCCCCTTATCCAACCGTCCATTCTGAATGGAGGGTTAAAATTGCCTCAATCACAATGTCACGTCTCTATACTATTTTATTTTTAATTTTTTTTATAAAAAACATTTTGACACCAAACTTTAAGCATCTAATCCTCTATTAAAGTCGCACTAGTAAGGAATATAAAAAAATATTCTCAATAAAATAAAATAACCAAAATACCCTTGAAATATTGGTCATTATAGTTTATCGAAATATTAATTTTAATATTTTTTATAGGTACGCCCCAATGAGAAGATGGCACGTACGAAATTTTATATTCATATAATTTGTATTTAAAAAATTAAAAATAAAATACTCTAAGGGCTTCGGATCTAAGATCAAATGGTGAATGGCTCACCTGATCAAAATTGGACGGCTGGATGGTAGGGGAAGCATAGATCTTCTATACTGTAGAGAAAGTATAGAAACCTTTCCCAAATCAATAACTATTTTTGGGTTGTTAAAAATAAGGTGGTACAAATACATAGTAGATATGAAAAAAAAGAAAAAAAGATCAACATATTTTCATCATATTCAAGAGCCAAGTTTTTTAGCAATAGAGACGAGGAGAAAAAGTATTTGATGCATTGAGCGGCTCTCCGTACATAAAACTTCCATCTTAAAGGCAAATATGTATCTACATCATATTATTAAGCCAGAGAGGTGGACGCATGTTGTGAATCTTCCTACAGAGATTGTAAGATAAGTGTATATCTTGAGGGGGAAAGAGAGAGACATGTACCATCATTAGGGAAAGAGAGAGGGAGAGAAGAAAAGCGTGCGCAAATATTTTAGGAACCAAAGAGATTTCATACGGCTCAGTGAGCGGTGGTCAACCACAATAATTGCTTTGTAGCACGAGTAGAGGTAGCTCATTGCCTTCTTCCAGGGTCGTAAAGAAATGAGCTAGAACTTTCTCTATTTTAAATCGTTAATAGAAAATGGGTGGGAGGTTTTTTTTTTTCAATAACTTTTCAAAAAAAAAAAAAGAATAGAAACAAAAATAAAAATAATAATGAATAAAATAATAGCTCAATTAAAGAATTGAAGGATACGTACGGCATTGTAAGTTTTAATTGCGTTTGTATAGTAACATACGCATAGCATAAATGAATTGAAAGAAAATAAATAGTAAATATTTTGATGGAGACTTTTTGGCACGGGGACACGGCCTGCACCCCTTCCGTCTTACCCGCTCCTCGTCGATCAATGAAATGGTTCGTTGGTTTTCGAGGCCACCCAAACAAAGCTTCAGCAATCAATTAACACCCACATCAATAATAGCCCAATGCACACTATAATGTCAATGCTAATTGGCGATGGGCCTTGTGGCCCAGCCCAGTCGGCCTGACCCTAAAAAACTAAGGCCAAAGCCACAAAATATGGCTTGAGGCTGGGCTAGGATAGATTTTTTTATTTACCCCGGGATGACTAGAATAGGGCTTGCATCGATCTCAGGCCTGGGCTTGGGCCTTGGCCTTTTTTGGCTCAGTCAACACTATTTGGATTATTAGGATGAGGGCCAAGCTGGACCGGTCCATCAGCTAATAATAACTTTAGCTTACTTTTATTAATGCCATAAACATCTCTATATAATTCATTCACATAGCTTACAAGAGATAAATTATTGACACCTTCAATTTGTACTAATTCTTTCACATAGCTTACATATTAGGCATTAAGAGAAAGGGAAAATTATAGATACCTCCATTAGGTATGCTCTTAATGCCAGAATACTTTTAATTTCACATTATTAACTCCAATATTATTTATTTTTGCATCCACCTCCAAACAAAAGAATTATAATTTTTTTTTTACCAAAACACCGTCATTTTAATCCATGTTTCCAAAATGTGATGCCCAACATGTTCTGGTCCAGCACGAACATATGTAAAATCGGCTTGTTCCAATTTAGCACAAAAAAATGTGTTGGACCCGGCTTGCCCCATCTAGCACAAAATGCATCCAACCAGTTTATATTGAAGTTGTTCTAGTCCCATTTTGTGGTAGACTGGCTTCTTTATTCAAGTTGGCTTAGGTAGAAAATGAGAAACGTTGGTTATAAAATATAGGTATTTTGGTAAACTCTTTGTGCTTTAAGAGGTGAATGAAAAAATAATGAATAGTGGGGCATGAAAAATATTGATTTGGTGGTTTTTATAATTTCCCAATAAAACCCCGCTACTGCGGGCATTAGAGGGCCTTTGGGGTATCTATAATATCCCTTGAGAAAAATAGAAGCCATGTATTCCGGGCATTTCAGGGCCTTTCCCCCACATAAACACCCTAAAAATCGCGACGCCCCCGTATCCTCTTCCTCTTTCCATGCTTAAGAAAAAAGAAATGAGAATTAAAAGTAAAGAAAAACACCCTTTTCCATTGAAATGTTTGAGAATGAAGCCTGAAAGCCTTCACAACGGGAGGAAGTCATCATCTTCAAGCTTTTTCAATCACAGGTACCCCAACCTCCTATTTTTCTCTATCCTTTCTTTCTGATTAATGTTCTTTTCCATTCATTTGTTTCTTCTTTTTATTGGGTTCTTTGTCTTTCACATTTCTTGGGATCTCAGAGTTGCAGAAGGCAGTGGCCCTCCTTCTCCATGGCGACCAAAATGAAAGGCATTTTTAAGGGGATCAAATACATTTCTCAGATCTTTGGTATTGTTTATTTTATTTTATTTTCTCTGAGAAAATAACTGTTATCATTTTTAATGGGTTCATCCAAGAAAATTATTGTAATCAGTTCCATCTCTATTGCAAGCCAAAAGAAAAAAAAAAAAAATCAAAATATTGGCTGAGAAATCCCATTTAATGCCCTGATACTTACCCAAACAAAGATAAAAAAGCAAGCATTATTACATAAAACTAGTAATATGCTGTGCAATCTGTGTGTTACTAAAGTGGTTTGTGTTGAGTGCATTAGTCTTTCTTTCCTTTGATTATTTGCATCTTAACATATTAGGATGAATTTTGTAAGATCTTTTAGTGGGAAATGGAAAATTGTTTCATGCGGTTCGGACAGAAAGTGTAAAGCATCCATCTTAAAGATGGATGCAAGTAGGTATTCCATCTGAATACAATGGAAACTAATCCAAATGTTTTCTTACAAGAATTGTTATTTCTAGTTTTTAAAATTTATTTAATTTTTTATATTCCTAATCTCCATATTAGAGATTACATGTCCTTAAAAATTAAGTCCTAAAATCCATCTGAAAAGTAGAGCTTGGGCAATAAACTGTGGCCTGAAGAGTATAGGGCTTGGGCCACAAACTGCGAACCTGAGTGCCCGGCTGCAGAGGTATGGCCTGCTCTGGGCCTCTTTTTTGGTTTTTCTTTTTAATTTTTCTTCATTTGTTTTAGGACTAGCCAGACGCGGGACAGGGGTAGGGCTCTACTTTTGGATTATTAAACCTTAAATATTTTTGCACTTCTTAAGTTACCATGCAGTCTTTATTTTTATTTTTTATTCTATTTTGGGGCATTTTTTATTGATTTTTTTTTTGCTGCAGTATACAAAGAACATGAAATGGAAATTGGTTACCCCACAGATGTAAGACACGTGGCACACATCGGATGGGATAATTCCATAAATGCTCCAAGTTGGGTAAGAATCTCATACTCTGAATTCCTTGTGGCTAATCGGGATGAATCAAGAATGGAAATTGAAACAGATCTCTCTCTCCCTGTTTTGGGAAACTAAAATATGAGCATTAATATTGAATGATTATATTAAATAATTCCAAAATTCTTTTGTTAGTTTCATAATGTGCTGATCCCAAATAGTTGGAATAAAGTTCGGATAATGGTGATGATGATCTTGGTTCCATAAAAAATTAGGGCAATTTTATAGAATTCAAATTGATGACTAAAAGACATAAATCCTTGTTTTGCCTGGATTCAATAGCCATTTATAAAGATAAAAAACGACATTGAAATGTCATATTCATCAAAGAGGCTGTGTTCGCTTTTCCTTGGTCAAAATTTTATTATCTTGTACTTTTTATGTGAGCGAACAATGGGGTAATGGACAGCTTTGAAAAGCAGATAAAAGTTTTTGTAATTAGGGTTTTGGTGTTGTTGTTGTCAAGGTGGAGATTTTAGGTATTTAATTTTGGGATCGTCTCTAGTCTCCCGTAAAATGATTCCACTAGAAAAATCGACTTGGAGTCACAGTGCTCCAATTAATCTTCCCTTAAAGATTGACATTGGACCTTTCATTTATGGTACATTACATCAAGGGTTTTAAGAGCTTGAAAAAATTTTACTTTCTATGAATTGTAAAAAATAATTTACTCTATGAATTGTTCAAGTGAATTGAAGATATGAAAATTTTCAAGTTTGAAAAATAAAAATAACAAAGGGAAAAATTTTGTATATATGTCAACCTTATGCCTACAAAAACAAGCACACCTAAAATTCTATTGGAAAAGTTTTTTTGGACACTAGAAGCCTTGGAATTGATCATTTTTTCAATTCTTAATGGTAGTATCTGAATTGTTCATTTTTCAGGATTTTCAAATATTTATTGATATGCTCAATTTCCACTATTTTTAGAGTATTAAATTTTATAATTACAATGAAAATAGATATTCAGGTCATCATAAGTGTCCTTAACATTGGAAATATATCTTACGACATGTTTTGAAAGTGTCTTATGATTGTCTAAAGTTTTCCATAAATTATATCTAAAAAAAATACCTTGACTATATTTTCTTGGGGAAAATATAAAAAAAAAAGGTTGAAACCCCTTACAATATAATTGACGGGTTAAAAAATTACAAATTATACTTGAGGCTGTGGTTTTAAACTTTCTATATTAATTAGCTACTTTCTCATGAAAATATTATAAAATATCCAAATTGCACATGTTTGGTCTTTAGAAGCTATAATAACTAGGTGTACATTTGTAATTTTATCCTGATAGAGGCCTTAACCGAATGAAAGAAATAACTCTTTCGGTAAATGTACCAAAGTAACTCGAGTAGTTTTCCGTTATGCGAGATCTATATAGTCTTATTATGTAGAAAAATTATTTATACTCCAGTACCACACTTTTTAGGCATATTCTCCTCAATATTGTTTAAATTACAAAACTAACCCAATCATTACTCATTTTTGCAGCCACCTCTACAGAAAATAATATCCTTGATTTGGACAAAAATACTCCAGTGTATAAACCTACGATTCTATCTCTAAAAACTCAAAAGTTGAAATTTTAAAGGAGAAAATATGACAAAAATTTTAGAGAAAGAAATTACATCAAATTTCAAGTTTTTAGAGATAGAAACTATCTAAAATTTTTAGAAAGAAAATATCTCAAAATTTTTAGAGACAAAAACTATATTAAATTCAAGTTTTTAAAGAAAATATCTCAAATTTTAAGTATCTCAAAATTTAAGAGAGAAAATCTGGGTTTTATACATGGTGGTATTTTCATCCAAAAACAGAGCCATTTTCTTCCTTTGTGGTGCCTGCAAATATAAAAATAATTAAGTTAGTTGTATGACTTAAAAAGTATTGGATATGACTATGGCTTAAAAGGCTTTTGTTGGCAACAAAAAAAAATATAATTTTAATATATGGCAAATGTTTTTCTATTTCATGGTCTTTTGTAAAATAGCACTCAAAAAGGAAAAAAAAAAAAGGGAAAATAGGAGATCGTATTTCGTGTAAATAAAACAGTAAATTTATCAGATGAGGAAAAAACTTTATCGCATCTCTTTGAGAAGAAGTAGAATACAGTTGTTTTAGTGGTTAGGATAAAGAGCATTTTTGTATTTTATATTCCTCTCATTTCCTTTTGGTCCCGATGAGATTAATCTGCTTTATTGGCAGATGAGGGAGTTCAAGACGGTGCCAGATTTCTCTTCGACATCATTGAGTAACTTTGGGGAACCCAAGGATCCGGATCCAGATCCGGGTTGTGTTGCTGTGCCTTCCGGTGCCATCACTACGCCTTCTCCAGGCACCTCTCGTTCTCTCTCTCTTCCTTTTTCCTTTAAACCAAATTTCACAACGGTTGAGGTTAAAAAACACCATTCAACATAGAGTTTCTTCTTCTTCTTCACTAGGCCTAATGGCCGATCTGGAGACGATCTGGACCGGGTTCTTGGAGGGGTGATCTGGATCAGCTAACTGTGTATTTTAACCTTCTCATCTGATTACAAGCAATCATTGTATTAACAAAATGTTTTAGGCTTAATCATTGATCTTAAATTTTTCGTAGATTTTCAAAAAATTCCCATGATTCAACAGCCTTCCGAGCTTTTCTCAGACTCACACGCTTCGACATTGCCGGAAATTCCAAAGCGACCGAAGCGCAAGAAGCCAAAGGACTCATCATCCACCTCGAGATCTTCCTCATCCAATAAATCTTCAAAGCCCAATGTCTCTTTGATGGACAAGGAATTGAGGGTTGATGAACCAGGGCCATCATGAAGCTTTGAGAGACAAACCACTATGGATTGAAAAGCATTCTTCTTACACAGGCTTTCTGAAAGAAAGACAAACCAACACTTTCTATGTTCAGTGTTAGGAGCTAGCCATTACAAACGCGAACCTTTTGAATGGGATCGTAGCACTGTTGGCTGGGCATATCATCTTTGATTTGGATTCAAGAACCCTAAAGACAAAGGGACAGATGGTTCAATCGGTGCAAATGCAACTGCAATATAAATTGGGAGATTTTTATTTTGATGTTTTAGAGGAACTTCTCATGACCTTTGAGTATATTGTTTTGGTTTTCCCACCTTTTCTTTTTGGTTATATGATAGTGAAAAAAAACTAAAGATCTATATTTTTGAAAATTTTCTTAATCACTCTTCCCTTTTTCTCAAGATTTCGAGACTTTTTGTAGCAATACTAAAGAGCTCAATTTATCTCGTATGATGTTTGATTGGGCTTTGTAACCGGAAAATTCAAATAAATTATACTGCAGCAGTCCGAATTTTGAAGGCTCAGGGTTCGAGGGTGGACCAGTGGAGTACATAGGCACATTAGCATTGTGACCATTTGGGTGTCCAAAGATGGAAATCGTGCTCATTGATGGAAATTAGGGGTGGCAACGGGCTGGCTTGGGTCCGTTCCATTGCCACATCTAGATGGGATTCTAGATTTTGGAAGATGGGTGAATCAAGGACATAGTGACTAAGAAATCTGTCAGTCATGGCGACAAGTTGATTTGAAATTGTAAATAATAAAAAGAATGATTTCCCTATTTGATTTGAAATTGTAAATAATAAAAAGAATGATTTCCCTATGTCGAGGCTTGACTAGGTGGTAGCAGCGAAAATCACCAAAAGAGAAAATCAAGATAAACCACGCACTTTCTCTCCATACATTAAACTTTTCATGTCAAACAATTCTTTTCATTCAGCAAACAAGATCCATCCATTACAATAAACGTCCCTACTCTTTTTATAAAGGTTTTCCTTCTAAAGATAAAATAACAACCTACCTTTACCTCAAAAGATAACTAAAGGATACACATGTAAATAATTAATCTCAAGATGATCTTTACCTTATACTGATAGAATGCAATATGCATGACTGGTCATAAAAGAATTTATCCTTGAAAAACAACGGACATGAAGATCAAAAGCAATCTTGCTTGTTCAAATGGACAATGGCAAAAAAAAATTGCATAGCACTAGCGATCTGCCTTTCTCTAGAGAGAAAATCGAGCAAGAAAAGAAAGAGAGAAACTATCATGAATATAGTACATAAGAATGAAAGTTCCAATTCATGTATATAAAATATTCAAAAGGGTTTGTATACTATGTGATCATTTATCTTTATTGCAAGGTTACAGTTATTCTTAGCGATTAGATGTCAAAATAGATGGCTTGAGATATGTTATGAATTTTGAGATTTTTTTTTTGTTTTTTGAATTTGGGTCTAGTCATTGACACTTTTACAACCACTTGATAAAAAATGTGACTGACAAGAGTGATGGTGACCTCTTTGTACTATAAATAAATGGTTTTTTGTATGTTTTTTCTATTCAAAATGCCCTTTTAGTAATTGGAACATAGATGTTTAGTGTGATTATTCATAGAAGAAATGTGTGTTAAGAGTCGTATTCTGTTAAATTCATGAATTTGGGTTATCAATAGTTATATTGATTCATTTCTGAACTGCTACATCCATAGCTGCAGCCAACTAAAGAATTTTAGGGAGAGGAACATTTTGAAAGAAAATTGTGCTCCACGTGCTGGTTGTGGTTCTTTCATTACTATATGTAGCGGTAATACAATGGTAAATGAGTACAACTGAAACACAATTTATATTGAAAGCACTTTCCTATGTATATATACTTTGCTATTTTGTCTGCACTTTCCTTTGTATGAAACTTATTTAATATTCACTTTTCTATCTTGCTACGTTCTCTCATAGTTTCCTTGCATGTATTGCGCATGATTGCCTAAAAAAGGAAATATCAAAAGAAAAAAAAAGCTTTCTAATGGTCCAAGTCATACCTCAATGGGATCTAACATTTCAAAGTTCTGACCAAAATAATGCAGCATGCTAGTATTTGAAATTGGTAGGGTGCAGGAAGATTACAGTGGGCCACATGCGGCTTATTGTAGGCCACATGCAGACTAATCTTATTCTCTTGCAGACTCTATACATTACCACTTTGAAGCTTCTAGAACTGTAGCGAGTTGTCTAGATGATTCCGTAAAGAATGACAAAAATGCCCTCAATGCCAGTTGAAAAGTGGGCCCGTGAGACATGGGAGAACATGGCAGCCAAGTGTTGATTGCATGCAGCCAATTGTTAGCCGCGTGCGGCCTCACTGTGGCTGTATGCGGCCTCATGGTGTGATCTCAAGTTCCTTAGATTTAGATCTTTTGATTTGAGTCATCCATTCCCAGTTTGGGGTCCTAGGCATTGGCCTATAAAATACCACCTCACCCCCACCAAAGATAGCCATTGAGGCATAGGCTAGATCCCATAGCTCAAGTCAACATAGTTTTTTTAAGCAAATTTTTTTTGCTAATTTTCAATAACCCTGAGCCCTTCGATCAACCATACTTGGCCTCACTCAGGTGAACCCACCATTAGATCTAATTGTATAGGATTGAGAATGGGTTGGATCGCGTCCAAATCTACCAGGATACATATTTGGATCTAAAAAGTATACATAGGATTTGAATCCGGATCTGATTGGATCCAGAATAATCGGAACCAGACCCGTTCGGATCCAAAAAAATTTATTTTATATAATATTGTCGATAAAATAATATATAGCAAAAAATACTATGTAACATATATGTATATATGTAAAGGGATTGTATACAATAAGACTACTTATCTTTGCTATAGGGAGGTCACTGCTATTTATAATCATCCAATGTAAATTTGATAGCTTGAATATGTCACAAAGTACGAGAAAATTTATTTTGAAGTTTGAGCTTGGTCAATGAAATAAATGCAGCCACTTAATTTCACATACAATGGCCAAGATTAATTGTGACCACTTTGTACCAAAGGCAAATGGTCTCATTATATATTTTCTCATATGACTCAGTTTCTATGCGGCCTGCCTGCATATTGTAGAAATATAGGCTTGGCAATAAATATATTTTTTAAATATAATTTGATCCTAATTTTTAGAGAATATATAATCTTTAACACGGAGATCATGTACATGAAAAAAAAATAAAAATTGAACACTAGAAATAATAATTATATTAAGAAAATATTTGGACCGTTAGTTGCACTTGTTTTTAGATGCATGACCTATTTGCATCCATCTCTAAGATGGATGCGTTATACTTCTGGACTGTATACTGTAGAAATGCGGTCCAACTTGCATGAATTTTTTTTCCAAAATAATATATAATATACTAATAACTGGGTCGAATTAGGATTGGATCCACCTATGCCTTGATCTGAACCGAAATACTATTCGGATCCAAATTTTGCATCGAGATCTGATCCATACCCAGATCAGGATAGGATCCAAAATCGAGTTTCGGATCCAAATGGGGTAAATTCTCATCCATAACGCCAGGAACCCTAAGCGGCCGTTTGTGTACTTGAAAATCTATTACAGGGAACCATATTACAAGGAAATATGAGATTTACAATGTTTGGGTACACTTCAACAGTACAAAAATAGAAATAAATTACACAAGATTTCTCCAAAATACGTGAAATCCATTACACGTAGGATGACTGTGAAATCCATTAAGCGCTTAACAGGTAATCTAACTATGCCATCTCTTGCCAAAAAAAACTCAATCTCCAGCCATTCTCCCTTTCTCATGTAGACATCCAATCTCCTGCCATTCTCCCACTCTCTTGCGCACATCCAATTCTACTTTCTCTCTCTAAACTCCACTTAAAAGTTTGCACGTTCTACGCAGATCCATTTCTACACTCGCACCTCCATATCTCCTCCATTTCTACATCACTCTATCCCCAATTTGGGTTGTAGCCCTCATCTGAAGCTAAATATTTTGAAAAAAAAAAGAGGATTTTTTGATAAATTATATTTATAATGATTTTTTGATAAATTATATTTGATAAATTGGTTTAGATCGTACAAAAAAGTGATAAATTATATTTTATGTAAATTATAATCATTACTCTTTTGAGAAAAAAAAAAAAAGGAATTTTTTGGGATTAAATATAGATAAAGAAGTGATAAATTACTTACAATATATTAACTTTATTTGGACTGTTAGTTGCATTTGTTTTTAGATGCACCACCTATTTACATTCATCTCTATGATGGATCTGGACTGCATACTGTAGAAATACGGTCCAACCCGCATGAAATTTTTTTCCAAAATAATATATATTATACTAAAAACTGGGTCGGATCCCGATTGGATCCAACTGTGCCTTGATCCGATCCGATCCGAAATACCATTCGGATCCAAAATTTTCATCTAGATCAAATCCATACCCAGATCAGGAGCGGATCCAAAATCGGGTTTCGGATCCAAATGGGGTATATTCTCAACCATAATGCCAGGAACCCTAAATCTCATATCAAAAAAACCATAGATCGAGTTCCCCATTGCAACTCTAACTCTAGGAACCTTAGATCTAAACCCAGTTCTACCCTATGAATTTAGATCATACAACTAGAATCTCAAGAACCCAAGATCTAGGTCCCATACCAAATCTAGCCATTGGAACCTCAAATCTAACTCTAAGACCTCTTATATGGAAATTAGATCTAAGCCTAGGATCTCTAGATCTTACCCTAAAACTCCCAAATTCTCCTATAGAAATATTTAGATCTATCACGTTTAGTCCACAAAACCAACAGATATATGCCTCATCTTACCTCATACATCAGTCTAAGTCCACTCTAGTCATTCTGCTTCATCATATCTCATATATCAAACTAAGTCCACTCTAGTTGTTTTGACACCCATCAAAACTTCATTCATCAGTCACCATACCGGATTTAGTTTCCTTTTATCCTTTATTATACTATTTATTTTCTTTCTTTTTATCCTGAATCTATGGGTGGACACGGGTCGGGTCCGGTTTGGTCGGATCTGGAATTGGACCTGACAGGACCCTACTAAAAAATAAAAGAAATATATATTTAAATGTTGTGTTAAATATATACATATATTATTTAAATATTATAATTGAAAATAAATAGTTATATTTTTAAAAATATTAATTAAATATTATTAAAATATTATATATTAAATATTATTTATATAATAGC